CCAAATAAAACAACAAAGGAAGTCAAAACCAACAAAACAACCACAACAGCATAAAGCAAGAACAAAATAACAATAACAAAAAGAAAGCCACTGACAAAAACGGAAAAGCGTATAAATAGTTCAAGGTCTGTTTGTTGGTCTTTACAAGTGTTTTCCAGTCGAGTCTAATGAGGTGCCACACTCTGTCTCCCACATCTATTTTTGGTATTCCTTGGGGGTTTCATCACTCTGATCCCCCTGCTGCTCTCAGTGCCTCGCCCCAGCATGATGGGGCCCAACCGAGCACTATTCCTGCACTGTCTCCAGTGCTGTCCCCTGCAGCATCATGGTGAGTACAGGACACCATGGCCAGCTCTACGGTTCCCCATGCATTGACTGCTCTGAGTCAAACATTGTCCTTGGGCCTTGGTGGGCCAGGATGTCCTCTCCTCCCTCTCCATCCCTTTGCATTTCTCCCATGTGCTCTAATCCCACATGCCCCTCTCCCCAAGCTGTAGCCCCACTGCTGTCCTTTGATGTACATTCTTCAGAGGGGGTGATGTGTCTACATAGTCGGGATTAGGGCCAGCACCACAGACCTCTCTATTGGTTCCCTGGTACATGCCTGTATGTTGTATTCACGTCTTGGTGCAGCGTGTTGAAGCCTGGTCTCTCTCTCCCTCTCCTGTGCAGATATAAACAATACCCTCCCCTTGGATGGGTTAGTACCCTGCTCCCCCTTACCCATGTCTTTTTTAAAAAATCGTTTTACTGGGGGTTCATACAGCCCAGTCTGTTTTTTTTTTCCTTCTCTCTCTTTCCCCCTCTTTTTTAGTTGGCTGCCGTATGTATCCCTGGATTGGGTTTGGCCCCTGCCCAAGTTGCTGGACCTCACCCCAGGGATGTATGTACATAGTAGCTTTTCTCCCAGGCCTCCTTTTTAAAAAAATTAATACAATTTTAAGTATCTCTGTAAATTGAGATAAAAGTGTGATATGCGAGTCTTATATCAAGAGCACTACTAAAAAAGACAGAAAGGAACCGAACGTTGATGAATAGTTGCCATGGGTGAAGGAAGGTGAACTTTTACTAGGGGCACTGAATTTCTATTGATGGTGGTGGAATAATTTGGAAAACGATAACAATAGTGATTGCACAAAGTATAATGACGAGTATAATCAGTGGCACTGAATTATACATGCAGAAGTTGATGAATTTGAGAATGTTTTGTTGTGTATATTTTTGCCATAATTTAAAAATTACACTGATAACAATACAAGGAAGAAGAAAATGTTCTCAAATTGATTGTGATAATGATTGTATAACTCTTCTTCATATGATTGATTTAATTGAATAATATGTAGGAAAAGTGCCAATATACCTGTTTAAAAACGGA